GTCCCCGGCGCTTCCGGGGAGCGAGAGGGCAGGCCGAGGCGGCCAGAGTCCGCTCTGCAGGCCGAGGTGGCCAGAGACCCCAGACCCCAGGCCCGCCCGCACGCGGCTCTGCCGCCCTCCCCTTTCTCTGGGCCTGCCTCTCACTCCCTGGGCCTGGCTGGGGCTCCTGCTGGTCCCACAGGGTCCCCCTGCTACATAACCTGCACCCAGTGGGGGCCCGCGAATCCCACTCCACCCCGGCCCCGGGCTGCCCCACCAGCCTGCACTGGCTATCGCATCGCAGTCCTCCCCCGCTGCCCGACCTGCGCATCTCCAGGGTTGCTCCAGGGAGGGCGGCCCCTCCACGCTCCCTCCCGGAGTCGCCATGGTCCTCCTGTCCCCGTCCACCCACAGGGAGGGGCCTGGCCCAGGGCCTATTACCATGGACACAGCTTGTTCGCCACTGCCCATCTCTCCTGCCCTGACCGGGAAGCCTTGATGCCAGGCCTTGGCCTTCTCACAGCCTGGCAGGAGGGTCGCGACCTGGTAACACACCGCTACTTTAAAATGAAGGATGGGGCTGGCAGGTGGCGTGGTGGTTAAGGGCGCTGGACTCCCACATGGCCAACCGTGGTTTGAGTCCTGGACCTGGCAGTTTGCTTTCTCACTTTCCTTCTCTCTCTGTCTCTCTGTGGTCAACTTCGAAAAAATAAAAGAAAAGAATGACAATGAATAAAATAAAATAATGATTTTAGAAAGTTAAGGACCAGCGGTAGCACGGTGGTTAAGGCACTGGATCCCATGGCCGGCTGTGCAGTCTGAGTCTGGGACCCTGAGTTTGAAAACGGTCTCCAGGTTGCGACCCTCCTGCCTCCGCACTGCTCTTCCCTGGCTGCCCAGGCCGGCCCTGAGCTCAGACCTGCCTCGCCTCCCGCACGGCTGGGGCCACCACTGTGCATCCCTGTGCCTGGCCCGTAGGCTGGACCTTGTGTCGCTGGCTGTGTGTGCAGTCCCAGCCCCTCGACACGCGGTCCCAGCCTGCGGGGCCCACTGTCCCTCGACACGCGGTCCCAGCCTGCAGGACCCGCCGTCCCTCGACACGCCCTGTCCCTTTAGTAGGAGACTCGGACACTTGCCAGGGTGGAGAGGTGCGTCCCCGTCAGTGCTGTGCCCACTCCCCACCAGCCAGCCACATCCTCGCAGCCTTGTTTCTTCGCAAGCTGCCGACGCCACCCCCTTGCACTCCTGCCCATGCCGTCTGCTGTGAGGACCGTGTCACCAGCATGTTCGGGAGGCCACACGCCCTGTCCCTTTAGTAGGAGACTCGGACACTTGCCAGGGTGGAGAGGTGCGTCCCCGTCAGTGCTGTGCCCACTCCCCACCAGCCAGCCACATCCTCGCAGCCTTGTTTCTTCGCAAGCTGCCGACGCCACCCCCTTGCACTCCTGCCCATGCCGTCTGCTGTGAGGACCGTGTCACCAGCATGTTCGGGAGGCCGCCGTACTGTGATGTGCCCTAACCAGGACTGCACGGCTGTGAGGGCTCGGCTCACCCGGTTCCTGGCGGATGCCCGGGCCCCTCCTGGCTGTGGCTGTCGCAGACTGGGCCGTGTGAGCCCGCGTTCACATCCCAGCGGGACCTCACCGTGGCCGGGCTTCACGGCGGGGGCGGTCCCCCGCGGGATCGCAGGCCGGCCCGTGCGTGTCAGGCGTGTCTGTACGCTCGTAAAGGACGTCCAGGTCTCCCGGTGCGTGCTGGGGTGTGGCACAGAGCGGCCAGCGGGCGGACGGGGTGTGGCACTGCGCGGCCAGCGGGAGGACGGGGTGTGGCCGTGCGCGGCCAGCGGGGGCACGAGGGTGTGGCAGTGCGCGGCCAGCGGGGGGACGGGGTGTGGCAGTGCGCGGCCAGCGGGAGGACGGGGTGTGGCGCTGCGCGGCCAGTGGGAGGGCGTAGTTGTCTTCTTTCTCACGTGTTGGTTGCGATTTGTCCTTCTTGAAGCCTCTTGTTGAGAAAGTTCGCAGTTTTGTTTTTTTTTTTTTTTAGAGATGTTTGCTATAGAGCGTGCACTTGCCTGAGAGACAGACAGAAAGCGAGATATCACCCCCCACGGGGGATGGCCACGCCGCAGTCCCTTCTCTTCCATTCTCTTACTGGGATCTTGGGCATGCACGCACATGCGCCTGGCATGAGTGTAAGCCACCGGTCTGGGACTCAAACCGCAGTTGACTACGTGGGAGTCCGGCGACACAGCCGTTATGCCGTCTGCTGGTCCTGGTCCCACGAGCTTTGACAAGGCACACCGTAGCATGCCGCCACCGCAGTCCGCAGTGTGGTCTCCGGCCTGACTGCACGCATCTGCTCATCTCTGCCCAGCCCTGCCACGCTGGCCCTCCAGTCTGGTTGGCCGTTAGCTGGGCACACGCAGGACACGGCCCTTTGGCTCAGCCTGTCAGCCCCTGGGGCCTCGACTTCTGCTGTGGTTGGCACGGCTTCCTTCTGTCACCTTCCTTTGCTCATCGTCACCTCCCTTTGCTCATCGTCACCTCACAGTCTGTGGTCTCCTCGTCTCACTGTGGCCACGCCGCACGGTGTCTCCAGACGTCGGGCATTAGCAGGCCTTTGTCCCAGGACCACTGTCTGGCCTTGTGTGAGGGCACAGTGTCCTGACCTGTGTCATCCTTGGTATGTCAGGGTTCCGAACCAACCACAGACAAGGACCTTTAACCTCCCCGGCAGGTGTGCGAGTCCTGGGCCGTGTCAGCCGTGTCCTGGGTGCCATCCACTCACCCGAGTGAGGATGGGCCGCGCCGTGGCCCTGGGGCCACCTCTCACTCTTCAGGGTGCTCACCCGCTCGGAGCCTGGTGTCTGCCCAGATGCTCAGTGGACACTGGTGGGTGGAGAAGGAGCGAGCGCTGTGGGGTCAGGAGCCCGCCACATTGGCCAGGGAGCTGGCCGTGAGGCTGGGTGTTCTCAGGGCACTCTGGCTCCCCCATTCCCAGACCCTCTGACATGGCTCCTGCTCTCCTCCAGCTGCTCGTTCTGCCGGGGGGTCTCGCAGGGTCTGAGCTCAGGTCTGGCTGCCGGGCTTGGCCTGGGCACGTGGCTGCCCCGACGCTGGCTGGCTGGCACACCTGCACAGTGCTCCTTGACTCCTCCACAGACATGCTGCTTGACCTCAGTGACCTGCTCCAGGTATGGCCTCCCGCCCCCGAGCCCCCCAACCCGGTGTGGCCCGGGCACACCCTACTCCATCCATGCACTCCGAGGCCGGCCTGGCTGGTGCGGGGTCAGAGACCCAGGGTCATGGCAGTGTGGGTCTGAAGGCGGAGAGGACACCAGCCTGTGGTCGTGTGTCCTGGTGTCCTCCACGCCCGGGTGGCCCAGCCCGAGAGCTGCTCGAGGGTCCCAAGTGAGCATCTGCCCTCAGCAAAGGGGACTTGAAACCTCAGCTCACGTGCGTTCTCAAACCACCGGGACTCTCCCACAGTCCCTTCACCAGGCCCTCCCCCAGGGACCAGGAGGGACATCTGCTGTCACTGTCCCCTCCAGATGTCTGGACTAGGCAGCCACTCGGGTGGGGGTCTTGGCACTGTGTCCCGGTGCCGGTATTCTCAGGCCGAGCAGGGTTAGGGTGTGTGAGGCCAGCCTGGACCTTGCAGCCAGACCCGGCGCCTCTGTAAGTGAAGTCAGTCCGGCAGACGAAGCACGTGCCCGGCGAGGACTCTGGGCTCCTCTGCAGGCCGCCCTGCCGCCCAGTGCCCACATCCCTCGGCATCTGGGGCAGAGACAGCCAAAATGCCCCGCTGGGATTGCAGCAGTCCACATCTCGTGCCCTGTGGGTGGCCGAGGCCCAGCCAGGCCACATGGAGGGCTCACTTCATAGCCTCTGGGAGCAGGAGACAGGGTGTCACGACAGGAGGTGGCCCTCATCACCCAGGCTCGAGCCGGGGCTCACACCGGCCAGGGAGCCCGCCCAGTCAGGGAGCCCCCCGAGTGGAAAGTCCACGCAGCCGGGGAGCCCACAGTCAGGGAGCCTCCCAGTCAAGGAGCTCCACAGGTGGGGAGTCTATGCAGTCGGGAACCCCAGGGCAGGGCAGGCAGGCCACTGCAGAGACAGTTTGCTTGGACTTTTTGGTGCCAAGTACCAGGGCTGTGCCCACAGGACGCTGGGCCATGCCTGTGCTGGGCAAGGCTGGCTCTGCTGGAGGGGCCACACGTGTCCCTTACCCTGTATGACCTCCTAGGGCCTGCACCCCCTGGGGGCTTGCCACCAGCAAAGGTGGCTGCTTGTTGTGAGAGTGCAAGGCTTCAGGGACTGTGCCGAGTTATGGGTGTCACGTGCTCCACGGGCTGGCCTCCCCAGGCTCAGCTCAAATGTGACAGCCCTCTGGCTGGAGCGTGTGGCGGTGGGACCTGGAGCTCCCAGGCAGGTCCAGCTGGCCCATGCCCATAGAGGGACAGGGCGGGCCCTCAGAGGTCGGATCCAGAGACCTAGGAGGATGGCCTGTGCAGAGCCCACCAGCTGTCCTGGGAAAGACCTGGAGGGCCGGCTGGCCACGTCCAGCCTTGAGCATCACCCTCAGCACAGGCACGGGACAGCAGTTAGCCATGGCCAGCAGCAGAGCTTTGAATGGCCAGGACTCAGCTACTCTGCCCTCTGGAAAGAACAGCATGCGTTTTCCATGCGTGGCTGGTCACGTTCCGGCCTTGCACCTCTGGAATTCCGGCCTGGTCACCTAGCCCGAGTGTGTGTCTTGGACGTGTGACTAGGTGGTGGGTTCGCAGCAGCTGGCAGAGGCCAGGACGTCCCACAGCCAGACCTACCGCTTTTGGCGGCTGTTTTGCTGGGGTCTAAATGGTGGGACAGAGTCCAGGCCCAGACATGGGCCGGTGGGACCACCACAAGGGCTGCAGTGCTCCTAGGAACATGTCACACTCCACATGTGCACTTAAGACATGTCACACCCCGTACACGTGCACTCAAGACCTCACGCACCACACGCATGCACTTAGACACACCACACCACACATGCAGACATGTCACACATCACACTTAGATGTGTTACACACTGCATATGTGCATAGACATGTCACACACGTGCACATGCCACATACATGCAGATAGGTCGTATGCTGGCACAGCACGTGTCGGGTTGGCTGCACACTTCACATGTCACCACATGCAAACATCACAGACACATGTGCCACACTGCACACGTGTGCACTTTAGGTACATGCGCCACAAACCACACACACAGACCCACCACACACTGCATGCACGTAGGTGCCACATGCATGCACTTAGACGCATCACACATATTACACATGACCTATAACACACATGCTCATCTGTACCACATATATTCATATGCACACGTCTAATGGGCAGACCCCAAAGTCTCTGGACCCAGGCACTCCCCACTGGAAACAGCTCTGCTGGGGGACAGCCCATGGGTGTTGGAGGAGCTGGCGCCCAGCCTCAGGCAGTGAGCAGTGGCCAGGGTCCGGAAAGGGGTGCCCAGCTGGCGGGTGCCCGTAAGCACATCCTTAGCATCTGACTCTGATGTCCCCCTGGCCCTTCCAGTCAGAGGCACCGGGGTTCCAGCGCGTGGACAGGGCCTTGTCCAGGACCACTGGCTGGGCTCGACTGGGCCAGGGCATTCTTTGGAAATCTGAGAGGCAGATGCCAGATAGACCACACTGTGGGGGTGGGGGAACTTGGACTCCCCCAGCTGTGCCCATCCTTGCTGCTGCCAGGTGGGCAGCTCGCCCTGAACCTGCCACCAGCCCTGTGTAGAAGTGTCCTCCACGGGGCTGCAGGGAGGACCAGGCCATGCACCCATGAGCCAGCTGGAGTCCTTGTTCACCGGGGGACAGACTGCCCCTTCCCACACCCTGGGGCAGGGACGAGGTGGTGGTGGGTGGCAGGAAGTGTAGGCTAGGTGCTGAGAAATGCAGATCAGGCCCGGGTGAGGGCTGGGGCTGCCGGAGCAGAGTGGACATGGCTGACAGTGTGGGCACACGGCTGTGGGCACGAGAGGTCCAGCGCACGTGTGCACACAGCTGTGACACTGCTTCACCCAAGACCCTCCTGGCAGGCGTTCATGTAAAGCAGGCATCATCGTTGGTGAGACGGGGTCGGAGTCCAGCAGCCACCTGCTGGCAAGGCGCGAGGGCCCAGCTGACCCTGAGGCTGAGTGCAGGCTGCCTGGCTCCCTGGGGCTCAGATACAGTGGTTCTTCGCAGACTGAGTGAGGGAGGCCAGCGGTGCCCTGTGCCTGTGCTCTCCCACCAGGTGAACGTGTACGTGCTGGGGAAGACCTTCCTCCTGCTGGCCAGAGAGCTCTGCATCAACGCACCAGCCATAGGTATGTGTGCAGCGCGGCCCTGCGGCGGCACCGGGACAGCTCACCCAGGCAGGGCTTGGCTTCTGCCGCAGACCCGAAGCCCGTAGGCGTTCACAGGAGGAAATGCAGTGCTGGAGCAGAGGGTGTCCTCGTGCAGACGTAAGGGACATCTGTTGCCACGTGCCTGGGCACAGCAAGAGGAGGGTGGCCTGAGAGGGTACCCCCTCCCTTGTGCTGTGCCGTGAGGATTGTCATGTGGGCTGCCTAGATGCCTCCTGCCTTTGCCTCTCACCACCTACAAGTACAGTCCTGTCAGCAAGGGGCACCTGGGGCCAGGAGGGCTGGGGTGCAGGCTGTGGTCACCAAGACTCGGCCTCCCAGGTTGAGCCTAGCAGTGCAGGAGCAGGGGGGAGGGACCCCAGCTGGGGCCAAGCTGCTTGGCATGCTGTGGGGTGAGGCAGTCAGCACCAGCAGCACTGTAGGCCAGCCTAAGGGAGGCAGGTGTGTTGCTGGGACAGGAGCCGGGGCCCAGTGGGGTGTGGCCCCTCATCCCCTTGAATCCATTTGTACGGCAAGTGTTGGTGTGACCCTGGCTGCAGGAGCAACCCAGAAGGCGGCCTTGTCGCCGAGGAAGCTAGCTGAGACAGAGGGTGGGGCCGAGCACAGGGCTTCCTGGGACCGCACGCTCCCAGCCCGGCCATGCTCAGCACCTTCCGCTGTCTCCTGGGGGGCAGGGCTGGCTTCTTGGCTCCATGCAGAGAACGCCCTGCCGAGGGCCCTGCAGGCACTTATCTGCGCGTGGCTGTCATTTTAAGAGACCTTTATTATGAAAATCCACTTAAATAGCTGCACTACTCTCAGTGACTTCCCTGGCTGGGGATCTGGAGGGAAGGTCTCCAGTGGAGCAGAGACCACTCAGAATCCCGGTGCAGACACCCGGGCCCTTGGAACTGCGCGGGTGCTTCAGAGCTGCCCTCCACCCCACCCGAGGCCGGACACCGGGCCCTGGCTGCATGGGGAGGCCCTGGGTCCACTGGGCTGCAGCTGCCTTTGAAAGAGAAAGCCTGCGGCGCCTTTAACAGCACCAACAAGCAACCGCAGCGCACCCAGGGGACTGCTGTGGTGGCGGCGGTGGCAGCCCCCGGCCACTCAGACTCAGGCATAGAAGATGAGCTCCGGGATCTGCCCGCCCTGGACCCCCGTGCCATTGGTGCTGTCCGAGGAGCACTGGAACTGGAAGGCCACCTTCCCACACTGCACTTCCGTCATGCCCTCCTGCCCGAAGTAGCTGAGCTCGCTGCCATCCAGGACAGCGCTGACCGTGTAGAAGGTGTCCTGCTCCACCTGCACCGGGTGCTCGAACCACACCGAAAACGTGTTACTGGACCCGTCCGACACGAACTTAGTCAGGTTCTGGGCCAGGACCACACCCAGCCGCTTGAGCTCGATCTTCACGCTGTACTCAGCCTTGCCGGAGCTGGACCCGTACAAGCCCAGCCCGGCCACAAACACCCTCCTGTCCACGGCGAACTGGATGCTGTCACAGCGTCCGCGGTACCGCCACTGGTTGCTGCGGTAAGCGGAGGACTGGAAGCGGTGGCAGCGCTGTGGGGCCAGGCCCTTCCTCTTGGTCAGGGGGAAGTCCAGGAGGGGCTTGTTGGCTGCCGTATACCACAGGAAGATGTTGTGGGTCTCCTCCAGCGTCAGGATGTCCGACTGGGCGGCGCCGTTGGCAAACTCCTCCAGGCTCATGGTTGGGATTCGCACCAGGTAGAGGGCTCGCCCCAGGACGTGCCTCTGGTTGCGCGGGGTGACTGGCAGGCCCTGCCTCTTGCACTCTGCCTCGGCCCAGTTCAGGACAGCCTCGAAGACCACAGCCTCCTTGGCGTTGAGGGCCTCCCGCGTGACGATGATCTCCAGCGTCTGCCGGTCCACCTCACAGAAGCCCTCGGACCGCAGGGCCATCTCGGCCTGTGCGTCGATGACCTCCCAGCAGCGCTGGGTCAGCTCAGGCTCCTCGAACAGCCGGCTCTGGGACAGCAGGACACAGGCGTTCTTGGCCTCCAGGCTTGTCTCCAGGAAGTTGACACAGGCTCTCGCCAGTGCGGGCACGATGTACTTCTTGGCCGCGTAGAGCGTGGCCAGCACTGTGTCAGCCTCCAGGTCGATCTCGTCACAGTACATGTACCTAGGCAGAAGGGCTCCGTCACAGGCCCTGGGGGCACAGCCGGCGCAGGACAGCAGCCCAGGCACCAGTGCACGCCCCCGTCCTTCCACACCCACACCCACGGAGCAGGCTTACTTTAGCAAGATCAGAAAAGCTGCGGGCTCCACGTCGGGTATGTGGATTTCTGCCTTGACCTCTGCAAGGTCCCCGTAGAACATTGCGTAGAAGACAGAGCTACCGACCGCCAGGACGTACTGTGGATGAGAGAGCTGCGTGAGGCCTGGCCCCGGCCCCGCCTGGCGCTGCAGGGGCTGTGAGGAGGGCGCGGGGGCTCCGAGAACCTCGCCTCTACCAACCTTGTGGGCGGGCACCCTCCTGGCCGCGCCCTGGGGCCCCACGACGAAGTGGACGTCGGCCATGAGCTCGTTGTTGAACATGAGCGCGTTCCTGCAGAGGCAGAGGCAGAGGCAGGGGCTGGGGCGCGGAGGCCCCG